CAGTTGCACGCAATGTCATGTATTGCATTGCATACATGACATGCAATTATATAAGAAATCTGTTTTTAGCAAGTAAAATGTTATCTTCCACTTTTAAAGGAATGCAATTTCAATATACTCCTTACATCAGCCATTATGCTGGGTTTGATAATACCTATGGTAAGCATATATAATTCCCTCATGTGGCTAACATATAGGGATTTGGCATGTGATAACATTGTGAAATTTGCATTTGCTATGCTTGAATTCCCCTTCATGTTTTCAGTAAAAAAAACAAAACCTGAGGAAATCGTTTTAAAGCGAAATCCCTTTTTAACTAACAAATTTTTTTTGTCAATTTTGTACAGCTATTCCAAGCATTTTAGCAAACTTTATTTCAGATTCCTGCTTGCTTGGGTTCTAGAGATATTACAAATAACCTTTTCCTATGGACTTGTTACATGTTCTCTGAATGAGAGGTTCTGTAAGGAGGATGAAGTCAGTGCAGAGCTTGTCAATCATGATAGCAAACCAACCTCATGTCTGCTTTTCCCACTGGCTGACCAGAATTCCATTTGCTGTGGCGGGTAATACAATTGACATGCAATATATGGCCCAAAGGTTTTGACACCTGGCCATCACACTTACCTATGTGGCCACAAGTATGTGGAAACGCCTCAAAATTATTGACTTCAGATGTTTCCAGTGAACAGCACTGTTAATGCTGCAGCATACAAAGACATTTTAGACAATTGGGTGGTCCAACTGTGGTAACAGTTTCGGGAAGGTCTTTTTTTATACTACATTACTGTGTTCCTGTGCACAAACTAGCTCCTTAAAGACCTGGTTTGGTGAGTGTGGTGTGGAAGAACCTGAGTGCCCTGCATGGAACCCTGACCTCAACCGTACTGAACATCTTGGGGATGAATTGGAACACCAGTCGTGAGCCAGGTCTTCTCATCTAATATCAGTACCTGAGGCAGCTTCATTGAAGACATGGCTTGATGAGTTTGGTGTAGAGGAACTTGGGTGTCCTGCACAGAGCCCTGACCTCAGCCCTACTGAACACCCTTTGGATGAATTGGAACGCCAATTGTGCAATAATATTAGTACCTGAGCCATCTCCATAAAGACATAGTTTGATGAGTTTGGTGTGGAGGAACGTGAATGCCCTGCATAGAACCCTGACCTCAATCGTACTGAACATCTTGGGGAAGAATTTAAACCAGTCGTGAGCCAGGTCTTCTCATCTAATATCAGTACCTGAGCCAGCTCCAAGATGACATGTTTTAATAAGTTTGGTGTGGAAGAACTTGAGTGTCCTGCTCTGTGCCTCAAACCTACTGAAAACCTTTGGGAAGAATTGGAACACCAATTGTGAGCCAGGTCTGCTCATCTAACATAAGTACCTGAGTCAGCTCCATGAAGACATGGTTTGATGAGTTTGGTGTGGAGGAACTTGGGTGCCAAGTATTTTCATCCAACATCAATACCTGACCTTACAAATGCTCTTTTGGCTAAATGAGAACATTTCTCACAGACACACTCCAAAATCTTGTAGAAAGCCTTCCTAGAAGAGTGGAGGCTCTTATAGCCAAAAAGGGGACCAACTCCATAGTAATGCCAATGGTTTGGAATGGGATATCTAATAAACTAACACAGGTGTGATGGTCAGGTGTCCACACATTTTTTGCCATATGGTGTAGATGTATTTCAACTGTGTAATAAGCAGTTTACCCAAAATTTCACTTTAATCTAAGGTGTATTTTTTTTTAAGTGGAACAAGCTATGGGTAACAGAAGGAATTTCAAAAATATTAGCTCCTGCCAAAGAGATGACCAGTTTCTGTAGCAATTCCTCGGCTTCGGGCTCATGTGCCGTAATTAAATCCCTCAGACAGACTGCATAGGAAAAGAGCTTCCGTTTGGCCTCGGTGGGCTGAATTTACAGGGCGAGATAATGTTAGTCTGCTGCAATGAAAACGACTTTATTAGCAGTGGGCGGTGCCGAGATTTTCTATAATGTGCAAATGCCAGGTCTTACACGAATGCTCCCACTTTCTGCAGGACCCAACGTTCCTCATTCAACACGAGACCAACTGCTGCTGCTTTTGTGCCCACACCAGCTGAATTCGATAAAAGCCACACAAATCTTATCCTTGTTCTTAAAGGGCTACTTCACCCAATTAGCTAAATACTGTGTTAAGAAACTGCCAGAAGATTAGTAATGGTGTGCAAATATTTTCAGGATTTGCCCAACTCTTCTGTTCTGTGTGGCTCCGTAGCAAAATGAATGCTGATCTCCAGGCAGTGGGACCCTCAATTGAAAAATAAAATCTAAACCCAATTGGTTGACTATTCCACAGTCACATGACATGCCTTGTCCCATCTTCTCCACTTTATAGTGGAGGGGCCCTTCTTTAAAGGGCCCATGTCCCTCCCTGGTGATGTGGATGTTTCTCATTGGCTGATATTGAGGTCCTTTACAGTGTCCTAATGACTCCAGCAATGGCGTGATGAAAATGCTTTTCATAGTTTTTATGTATGCAGATACTGTGCCATTGCCTCACCTCCTGTCTGCCCTTTAGACTACTAGTGATCGTTGCTGCAGTGTCTCTCCCTTCTGTAAACTCACTCTCCCACCAAACATACCTAGTGGATTCTCACACTGCAAGTCTGAGTGCAAGACAAGTGCAAACATTACATTGTTTACATTCAGCCTGTCTAGGTGTGCACCAAAACTGCAGGCAAGGAATGAGTACAAGGAAGATATTTGCTCCACAAAATCTGTTTGATTCAATATCTTCGAGAACCGTTAATCATTTCTCTCCCACACTGCACTCATGTAATCACAAGAGATCACAAACGGCTAGGAGCAATCGGGTCTACATTGTAGTTTTATGCTTCCAGTAATGTCCAATATGTCTCTCCGGGTATTACATGAACACAGAGTAGAATCAGTGGTTTATAGCTTGTGGCACCGGAGACCTAAAGCTGAAATGTGGGCAAAACAAGTATTTTTGTCTAAATACAGAAGCCATGTGTATTTTTACTTGTATCTTCAGTTTCTTTCTTCCAGATCTGTTAAGTAATCCAGCATGAAACAGCTCTATATCCGTCCCCTTCCTGTCATTTCATTTTTTGCAAGCAGTCTGTAGTGAGTGGGACCTTCTGCCCCCCACCCC